ATGATATTTGTGCCATTTGGAGCTGTAACTTGCAAAGCCTCATTATACAATGGCAGTATTCTGTTAATTAGGCTTAATAGTTTTCACGGATTAGAGCTATTGTTGAATAAGTGCACTTATACATGAAATGTTGAGCACTATGAYTAACACAAATTTTATACAAAATATATTATTTCTTCAATGAAAATTTATAAAAAAGGGAGCRCTGCGATGCATATCCCGGACTACGCCAAGAAATAACAATGAATAATGAATTCAGAAATACAGATAATTGCAGGGAATTTTGAAATATTTATGAGATTATTTCTCATCTGTAAGACTTACTTAAGTTATAAGCTTGTAAACAAATACTACGGTAGGATTGATAAAAACATTAACAAAAATTCAGAAACACTTCTCAATGATCAGAGTAAAGGTTAAGATGACTCAATTATACATCGAGAAGAAATATTTATAACTTATACATTTGACCAAAATAAGGCATTCATACCTGAATATTTCGTACTGATTTCTCATTCAACCAGTTTTGAATTCTAAACGTTTGCTCTGAAGTGGACGGTTTATTCAGCGAATATTCTGGCGATCTGGATCTTTCAACTGCCGAAGCTGATCTTCTGTGATGTCTCCCACTGTCCTAGATTTCATTGTGAGAGATATATAGCTTTAGTTGTAACACAGGAATTATTAATCATGTATGAATTTAAAAGCTCGGGAAGTTACTTGAGTTATCTCCTTAGGGGTCTTAGATAAGCCGATTCAAGTCAAACATTCATGCAGTTTATCAGAGRAAAAAATCCCGATTTTGTAAAAACGCTGTCTAAAAATTACTTTGGATTAAAGGCTTTCACTTGAAATGCTTTAATATTATCAGAAGTACGTAGTCATTTCTCTTTAGAAAATTCCTTAAACAGATGTAAACAATTTTGAGTCAGTGATTCGAGAGAGTTCAAAGTGGCATTACCTTTATCGTTTCTTGCTCGCCTTCTCGTAAAATATCATCAATCATTTCTGGAGTGTGCACGGAGATTCGACCGTTACCTTGTTTCTTTCTTCGGGACATTTTGAGCATAAAACTGAACAGAAAATGCTCCTTGAATGGATACGAATTTGAGTGAGTGTCTCGAAACACCGACTAAACGACCACAATGCAACACGTGTTGATTACATGCTGTTCCTATGGCAACTATTCTTTTTATTTAGGGAGGGGAGGGCTAGTAATAAATAATATTCTCGCATTTTTAAAAGAAAACTTTYACTCGAATGAAATTCAAAAACAACTTTCAMACAAGCTAGCCTTGGTTTAATATCAACAAATGTTTAGAATTAAGTTTTTCGCATTAGTTTTAAAAATTCTGACCGTAAATTTAGATAGCCTTAGGGCTCCCTACTTAGTARGTTTTGRCCACAACATTGCTCGCCATTTTGACTTTGTGGAGCTTTAGACAGGGCCGGGAAGGTCATCTTTTTCGTAGCCTATGAACAAGATGTCGACGGAAGAATGTATTGAAAAATGATTGAAGTGATGTCCTAAAGTGTTATATATTTTAAATTGATAGACTTGATGCTGTTTTGTAAATTATTTCGGGTATGAATCAATTGCAAAGTCTTCTCCACGATTCCCTTATCGCAACAGGACATGTCAAAAACTGTGCTATTATCAGACGAAAGGATACTACGCTTAGGGCAAGCTCAGTCGGCTTTACTGTAAGTAAATAATTTTTAGAAAAAAAATAGTGTTATTTATTTTTCACTCCTAATTCATGCCCATCTTGTATTATACCTACTGAGTCTACTGCATTCAAAGCCAATCAGAAAGCTTTCAAACATTTGTTAAAACCTCAGCTCCRGTGTGATGATGATTTCATTTACCTTATATAGCCATCCATAGACAATATGTATGCAGTGGTCAATGCTTTTGTGGACCCAGCTGGAACAAGGAARGAAGGTCTCAAGTTTGAAGACACCTCATATGAATGTGTTAGAGCAGACAAGTTTTCATTGTATGGCAAAAATGTAAGTGTCTTATAGTAAGCAAGGAAGAAACTTCAAGCACTGTGATGTCTTAAATAGCAGTTTTAACAAAATAGAAAATTAATAGTAGTTTTAAGAAAACAGAAAATAAATAGGAGAATGCTTAGAGCTCTGTGGGATATGTAAACACACACTGACTGCATTAACTTGGTTTCTGTTATAAATAAAATTGGTTTCTGTTATAAATAAAGCTTCACTTTGAAGTTTTTGGTAGCATGTGTGTACTTGAACTAAAACTGTGTTTGGCTCTAAACAAGCTAGTGTTTACGGCATATGCAAATATGCAAAATGTCCGCATCGCAATGCATCTGACCTGTTGTGGCTTTAAAACTGCTGGACAGCGGCTTTTGGTTTAAAAGCTTGTGTGCAGACCATGCTGCCCTTATTATTGCGTGTGCAAGTTGTCTGATCATACAGGATATTACTTTAAAGGTGACTATATTTATTTCGATCATAATCTTCTAACAGTATTGATTCTCTTTTTCTTGTTTTTTTTTTCCTTTCTAGAATAACTCAGGAATTGTTGTGGTAAAAACAGCAACACTTTTCATAGTWGCTCTGTATTCCCCTGAGATGAGCCCAAGTGTTTGTGTTGAGTCAGTGGAAAAATTAGGTGAGTTTTTAATAATTATAATTTTCTCATTTGCTAGCTAAACACAGCCAGGCTCTATTCTGCARGATATTAAATGACACTTTATCCCCATTCATTTTTRTTACATTTTTCCACCTTGAAAAGTATTTTTTGGTGCCCAATATTTACACATATGTTTGCTATATATTATTAAAATATTTTTTTTGTTTTTTTTAGCTGATTATTTCAGAGAAAAGGCAAAGTGATYAAGGAAAATTGTCAATAAATTTCATATTTAGTTGATATCAATCAAATAATGTATTGTATAAAGAATTGTACATTTTATGAGTATATAATCCATGCCGTTTTAAATATGACAACAGAAAAAATAAATAAATAAATAAATATGTAAAGAAAAACGTTTGTCTTTTAATTTGCTGCCCCACTCCCCATTACACTACATAGTGCTCTCGGAATATTTTTTTCATTTTTTTTTTTTATTTTCTTATCCCTTTTTTTCAAACATTTCAGGTTTCTTTTGCGGGCTCCCTGTGTATTTTAAAAAGTGACAGCAGTACTTTTTGCAGCGGTCTCCTTTTCAAAAAAAATGGCGGACGATTGGAAAGTCAAGACGAAGTTTTGGATTAACGACGTTAAAGCCCCCATTTCTTGCAGAATTGAAGCTGTACCTTCAAAGAAAGGCAAAGATCTAGTATTTCTATCCAGTGGCGATACGTTCGTTTACCTCTTTGAAAGCAGTAGGATTTTGGTAAGTCAAAATACTAAATCTCTTCTCGACGTGTACTGGAGTGCAGTGCTCTAATATTTTTTTTTTAATTTTATTTGTAGAATATATTTTCATTTCCTGGCTGTGTAAGATATTTTTTGGTAGATRGTCAATATTGTTTAGCAATTACCGAAGATGGAAAGGTCTGGCGTGTCCCCTTCAGTAGACATAAAGTGAAAGCGTAAGTATTTTTGATCGAATTTAAATGAATTGGCTGTTAAAAGGACTATCCACGTTCCTACAACTAGTAAACTATAGAAATAGCTAATAAATGTACACATACATTCGATGCTAAGATACTAAGCAGGCCAGTACGAGGATTTTGAGAATGGCCAGTAGATAGAGTCATCACACTTGCACCGTGAAACAAAATCAAAGAAGTAGTAACTATTAGTTTTTATTTACTGACT